GGTCTGTTCCTGTTTGGCTGTGACTCCATCCTGGAGAGAAATATCAGCTGTGCTGCTGCCATCAACACCTTTGTTTCTAGATGTTGGAGCTTGAACGGTGAACATAAAGCTGCCACAATCAGACTCCAACTGTTTACACTGTTAAATACTAGTGGTCCACCCACGGAACAGTCACCTGTGGACCTCTGGACCTATCACCCATGGACTTGTCCACTCTGGACCTTTCACCAGTGGACCTATCCACTCTAGACCTATAACCCGTGGACCTGTCCATTCTGGACCTATCACCCATGGACCTCTGGACCTGTCACCTGTGGACTTGTCCACAGGTGACTTGTCTCTAAGCCCTCATGGGGAATCTGAGAAGCACCATGAAGGTCTCCAGGATCTTCCTGTTGGCACCAAAGCAAAGAAAGCAAATGAAGTGGAAGCCGTTGCTTTGGGGAACCATGGTACCCACCTTGTTCCTCTCGAACAGCTCGCTCTGGATGGCCTTCAGGTCCGAGTCCAGTGCCGAGGCGGCCTGACGGCGTTTCTTCGCCAACTGCTCCTCCAGGTCTTCCACCTGAGCTCGCAGTTTTTTGTTGTCCCTCTCCAGGGCCAGCTTGTCCGTCTCCAGGCGTTCCCTGCGCCCCCACTCGGCAGCGTTCTCCACCTGTAGCCTCTCCATCTGACAGAGAGATCCCAGACATTAGACACGGCCTTCCGTTTTAGTCTCAGACACAAGGGACACGGCAGACGGAGCCATGAACACTAGGAGCAGCCCAACAGACCCGACAGGAGGACCTGTCAGGTAACCACTTTTCCAAAGTTCCAGGTCTCCAATTGTCAGCCCACCATTGTAAATAAGAACTTGTTCTTAATGACCTGCCTTAAAATGCAGGTATAATAAAGATCAGGGTGGTGTCCAGATGGACCAGAGGAAACAGAGACCTGCTCAGCAATCAGCAGGCCGTCATGGCGGAGACTCATTCAGGAGCTAGGGGTATTTGATACATCCTGATGAACGACAGCTTTAGGTTCTGTTGAAATCTAGACTCTCTGAAACATTATTTCCTGCATTTTGCGGTGGAATGCAGATAACAATTTGTCTTTGCTCCAACACTACTTCTGTCCAGATTATGGGAAGTATGTATGTTTGACTAGAGGTGAAAAATTCATAAGGAGGACAACAGATTATTTTTCGCTACAATATTATGTTTCATAGGTTAATTCAAACAATAAGAAAGTGGAACTTAAACTCACTGCTAAAGGTGAAATTTAACTGTTTCATATAAAACAAATTGACAAACTGAAAAACAGCAGAGGAGAAAGTGCAATTCCTAATATTTTTTGTGAAGGGGGAACAGTGTACACCTGAACTTTTTGCCAGCTAAAAGCCTGACAAGTGGGTAAAGGATCCTTTTCACAATACAGTTCTTGAATTAAGTCTGAGAGGAAACCCCGGTAAATTCATTATTTCATCTAAGTTAATTTCCATTTTACTTGATTGATCATTTTTTACGGGAATGAGAGCTTTGATTTTCTGCCAATGACCCTAGAATCATTTTAAATCTAAACCTGCGGAAGGAATGGTGGTGAATAATCCTCAGATGGGTCCATGAAGGCGGAGCGGGCATCAAAGCTGAACCCAGAGGATCAGTTCAGCCTGTTTTCAGCTAAATGAACATCAGTTGGACTCACAGTTTTCACTTTAACCTCACTCAGTCAGGATGCATACTGTGGAAGAGGTGGTGTGGTACAGAAAAGAACCGGGATCCAGTCCATGGTTCAGAGCCAGGCCTTACCTCGGCTCGCAACTCGGCCAGTTTCTTGTCCATGCTGGTCCGCGCTCCCAGTTCATCCTCCAGGTCTTCAGAGATGCGACCCATTTCATCCTGATGGATTTCCTTCAGCAGGTTGAGCTGAGTGGAGACAGACAGACAGACAACGGAAATGTTCGGATCAGAAGAGGCCAAGAAATGAAGTAGATTGTTCTGCAGCAGCCTCCAAGGTTCACACAGCTTCCTCAGCTTATTGTCCTCCTCCATCCTGTCATCCTTTACCTCTGACCACCAGCTTCTCTCCCATCTGTGGACCTGGAGCGCCTCCTGGTGGACTAAACAGTAATGGTTCATGGTACAGGTCTAACCCAGGGCTGTGTCACCACCCCATCCATCTCATCAGCTCATCATCAATCAGATATATGTGGAATCATATTTGTCCTTGGCCTATTTGTGAGATAAAATGTTTTGAGTGTAATGATAGAGACATCCTGTACCGTTCACTATGCTGTACTGCTGAGGGGGACAGAAAGCAGACGCCTCCCTACTCTAAGGGAAGGTGATGAGAGATAATGAGTTCACAAAGCCTCCTTCATGCTGTGGTTAAAATGTATGTCCTTGATGAACTGAAGACTAAATGTTCGTGTGTGAGAATTCTCTTTATAAGCAGGGGTGGGCATCTACCTCGCCAGAGCCACACTGACACTTCAACTGTTTGTGTTGTTCTCCTCTGCAGAGTAAAATAAAACTTTTTCTTCCTTTTTCTTCTTTTTAATACACATATACATCCTGGTCGCCCCTGATTTTATTTTCGTAAAAAAGATCTAAATTATGTTTTTCCCGCCCTATAAACAGTAAGCGTACTAAAATATGTGTTCAAGGTTAATTACCGGTATGTATTTCCTGATCAAATAAATGCCTTAAAATCCTGTTTTTCACTCAGCTGTGGCCGATCTGTGTTGCTGTTCTGTCAGATCAGCATACCCCGTCAGATCAGCATACCTATATTCAATATGCATGACATTGAATGATGCATCAGATTTGCGTTTATCCCTTTAGTTTTGTACATAAAAATAGACTTTAAACTACCTGGATGGACGTGTCTCCCTTTAATCATGTACAAAAAAAAATAAAAAATTGACTAAAGGGATACATGCCTGTTGAGGTAGTGATAAGTCTATTTTTCATACAAAAATAAAGGAGTAAACAGGGATTGACTATGCTGGGATTTTATGTTCTTTTCTATTTACATTTCTGACACTTTAAGATGTTTATTACCCTCCTCGGTGGTGGGGGGGGGTAAAATATGTTATTTAATCAGATATTATTTCAGCTGTTATATATTGTTTATGACAAACAGTCCTACTAACTGTTTGTTAGAACAATAGATGAGAGTGATTTGAGCACTAATCATGGTCAAACAGTTATTTCTGCACATACATGGAATAAATTCACCACAACTTCTGTTCAAAATATAAGAGTTTATTAACAAAAATCATTCAGCTCCAAGTCAAAC